TATTACTAGACCAAATACAACTTATTCTATAGTAGGAAAACAGGAAGTAACAATTATCTATGGGACAAGCCCATCCTTGGCACCAGGCTTTACTTCTGAAAAAAGTGCACTGAACTGAACCTTACTGCAACTATTGAGTTGTATGTTCTTATTCTGTTTCAGAAGTATAACATTTAAATACTTTACTCCCATTTCTGAGTAATGTTTAGATTAAAACATCAATCCTCTTTGCCCCTTTGTCTTGCTAGTAATTCATCCAATGAGTACATAGTCTACACATGTCATTTACTAACTCTATCACTACGTAAACATCTTCTGGCTCTCTCACACATGAAATATCTTCATGATATAAATGTAAATGAAAAAAATGTGATACTATGCATCACCACATAATTAGGCAGAAGTTCAATAAGAAATCTATCCCCCTAAGCAAATGAACTTGCTACTGATACTATCCCAATAGGAACTCTGCTAAAAAGTCCCTGAAACTTAGACACAGTCTGGACACTAGAAACACAATGTTTTCCACCAACATTGGGGGAAAACCCCATCATTCATACATTCATCTTTTCTTCTACTTCCCAAATGAACACCAAAATGGAACCATGAATACAGAAGGGAGGGACCTTAACACACTTATGAAATTCCCTGGGTATGCAGAAATATAAACTAACTAAATATAAACCAATTAAATCTACCCTTACAGAAGCTCATGGAGGGATAGTAGGAGAGGCAGAAGGAGCAGTTAACACTGATGACCAGCTTGGTTTATGCTCTCAAGGCCTCTTCGTTGAGGAGTCTGTTTTTGGTATTTCCCCACGAAAGAGCTCAATATGGTGCTAAAACTCAAAATAGGGCTGAGCCAAAGTGCTAGCTTTTTAGGTTCTGGTTTTTAAACCGAGACTTGAATATCCAACCTTAAATGTTTTAACATTAAACTTTCTAGATTATTGTTAAGTTACATGAGTCCATAAGGCAATGTAAAATTGGTACCCTTTTTTAATTGGCTCTATTCTAAAATATATTCTACAATATATACGGCATACTCCATTTAATCCTCCAGGGAAAGATTGAAGGCAAACAAGGTCTAGGCAGAAGAAGAACATCGTGGCTTCAAAATCTAAGGGACTGGTTTGAACAAAACTTAGTAGCACTTTTTTGTGCACCTGCTGATAAAAACAGGATCGCCAACATGATTGCCAACGTCCAATAACAGATATGGCACAAGAAGAAGAAGAAGAAGAAGCAATTATGCATTAATATTTTCAAGGAAAATCTCCCTCCCTTCCTCAGATCAAAAATATGTAAGGCAGACATGAAGGCACATTAGCAAGGCCATCTAGGATACACAAGTAACCCTTAGATGAATTGGCAAATTTTGAAAGAATTTCAGAATGGATATTCAGAAAAATACTCCAATGGTTTAGATAATTCTTAAAACAGAAATGCAAACATTATTGTCTCAGTGTTTCACCATCCCCATCTCCATCATCAAGATGGGACTGAATTTTTTCATCTGATAGTTCCTTTCCAGAATTGCATGGGACTTCTCTAGTTTCCCACAGCACCATCAGTCTTGAAAGAGTTCAGTTATCTTGCAGCTAAAACATTAGTTTAGCAGAGTCCCAAAGCTGCTATATGTATCGGTGGCAGCCTCCTCAATTGGTTTGATGACATGAGCCAAGGGTGGAAGTGCAGCCAAGAAGGCCACTCACTACCCTCCATGCAGTGTTCCATGCTAACCTTGTTTGGACAACAGCAGAGCCTAGCCCCATTCCTAAATCACAGTAAACACAGACTATGAGGGCATGTATATCAACACCTCTTCCTCCCAACCTAATGATTGGAGGAAAGCACATGACGCAGCTGTTTGAAGGAACCCTTCAAAGATTCCCTAGGCAGCATGGGAATTCTGGGAAGATCTGGTTCCTATGTATCGGGGATGAGAAAAGTTGAGTTACAAAATGTTTAACTTAATTTAAATTAAACCTGCAAAAAAGTAAGAAACTCATCCATTCTATACACCAGCAAGTAATTTTTGAATTAACTACATTTTTATTATTTGAAAATCACTGCACTATATTTACACTTCTTTTTTAGCTCAACCCATGGAGTTTTCATCAACTGTGACAGTTATCCAAGATTCAGACACATTCTCCACAAGTTTTTAACTGAGAAAATCATGGGACAAAGCAACCCATCTGCAAAGTGAGGGGGAAAGTATATTTTATGACCCTTACATATTGTGATTATTGTTAGGCATGAAAATCCCTTTTCCAAAACATATTATTAGCTAGTTTTTAAAAAATAATAAGAGTTTAACCTACTATAACCTGGTGTCTTCTGTACTGAACTACAACCCCACCATAACCTGGCAGATTGGAAAATTAATTTAGGCAGAAAAACACTACCAGTTGACTAATAGCAATTGGCCAAAATAGTTAATGTTTTATTCTCATGAAATTAATCCATGATAAATTAAACCACAGATTACTCCAAGTATGCACAATCTAAAATGTAACCAACCATACAGGCCAGATTCATACAAATGCTAACTAAACTAGTGGTTCTCAACCTTTTTAATGCCACGACCCCCAACCGGTCGTAAGTCGAGGACTACTCAACCGGTCGTAAGTCAAGACTACTCAACTGGTGCAGCACCGTTTGCAGAATGGGATTTTTGGTGGGCTCAGCAGGGCAGAGACAGCCTGGACAATTCCTATTGGCTTTTGAAAGCCAATAGAATTAGACTCTATTCAAGAGAGTAGCACAGCTAAGGAAAAGGGGGAAAAATGGCGGACTGCGTTGTTTGGCGACCCCCGTGAAATGGTCATTCGACCCCAAATGGGGTCCCGACCCACAGGTTGAGAACCACTGAACTAAACAGTGATTAATTGGCTAGGTTGTGAACGGCATATCTCGTGTACCTATCCAAACCTGCCATATTCTCGCACTCTGGCAACATATTTTCAAATATCTATTATGTATATCTGTGGAAGGCTATCACCATCAGGACCTCTATCCACAGATGGTAGCTGCAAGAAACAGAACTTTGGACTTTATGGACTCATCTGATCCAACAATGAAATAAAGGTAAAATTGTAAGGTGACCAACCGTCCTCCTTTAGGGAGGACAGTCCTCCTTTTGTGAGTTCTGTCCTCCCTCGAAAAGTGTCCTCCTACATGTCCTCCTTTTCAATATTTGAAGACTAAAATGCAGGGCTTTTTTTTTTCTCATAGAACGCTCAGAACAGCGTTCCAGCACCTTTTTTTGATCTTTTTTTTTTCGCATGAGCTGTGCTACTCCTATTGGCTTTTGAAAGCCAGTAGGAATTGCTGCTGAGCACACCAAAACACCCGGCTGGCAAACTTTGCACATGTAAGTTGTCTGCAGCGAAGGCGAATTGGCAGGAACTTTGCACCCCTCCCTGCTACCCAACTACACCATCTCCTAGTTAGTCCTGAAGATACCTGGAGGAGACTGGAGCTGCGATGCCACGGTAACTTTCTCTTGATCTTCAGCCCTGCTAGGGCAATAATGGCTGTGAGCACAAGAGGCAGGGGCAGCGGGGCTGCTTCAGGCGGGAGTGTGAGGGGCGGCGGTGGCCGGCTGCCCTCCGTGCTGTGGGAGCTGCGGGGTCTGCTCTTTAAGGGGTTGCGCAGGGTGGGTGGTGGTGCTGGCGGGGTAGCTGCAGGTGGGGTGTGTCAACAGCGGGCTGCCCCCCAGGGCCGGAGCCGGTGCAGCTGGTGCTTTGGGAGCTGTGGGGCCCGCTCTAAACGGCAGGGCAGCAGTGCTGGTGGGGAGGCTGCGGGCAGGGGCATGGCATGTAAGCATAATTACAATATAAAATATTATTGTTACAAATGTTTTTTATTATGCATTTATCATATTATAGTGTATTCTGTATTACTGTTGCAATGAATAAAATGTTTCTTTTATTTACAATATTTTTTCTTCAATTTATTTGTGTCCTCCTTTTCATTGTAAAAAAGTTGGCCATCTTAAAAATTGGGCAATATATTTATTGCCAAATATCAAGAATGTATCTGACTTATAATTCACTAGGAACTGGGCAACTCAAGGATGGGAGCTGAGGCATATTAAAGCTGCTATAACATACATATTGTGAAAGAAACAATGAATAGGAGAAGGGAGGACAAAGCAGGTCAGTTTAAATAAATATTTATTTCCTGCTTGTCCCTATGCTTTCATCTCCTCCCTATACAGGCTTAAGTCATTCCTTGCTGTAGTGTTTTTCTCTTTATTCCAGTAATACCTAAGGGCCATCTCAAAGTGCACAAAATTGGTTGAGTTTTACCACTGATTCCCTTGGAGAGAGATCAAGCCACAGGCAGTGGCTGGAAAAAGAGGCAGGATAGATGTCAATAACCAAGACAGCAAAATTTGTTCTACTGTACTTTGATTTTCTGCAGACTCAGAATAAGTGAATTTAAATTGAGTAGTTAAAAAAAAAAAAAGCCCCACGGTGTTTCAGCCATTCCCGTCTCTTGGAGGACAGAACTAAAATATTTTTCAGTCTGAACACCTCTTTAACTTTTGTCTCCAGTGAGGACTCTTAACATTTTTCCAGTGCTGAAAATTGCTTAAATGATCAGTCCACTTCTAGAAGTGGAATGGAAGGGGGAAATTGTTTTCTGTTTTTGCTTCAGCAACAATACCTCCTGGGCTCCTTGGAGATCATCCTCATCCAGACAGATTTGTAGGATGGTCTTTCCCAAGCTAGCACTTTTTGATTCCCCATAATTCTCGGCTGATACAGAAGTTGTAGACCACGACAAAGATGCAAGACAGCCTTCTCCAACGCAGCAGTTCCCCAGGCTAGTAACCTCACAAACCTCAGCGGGTTCAGAAGCTGACCGAGATACCTAGACGGCACCCCGTTAGGGAAAACTAACTTCGGAGAGGCAAGGCTGTTAATACAGGGCGTTTATTCATCTCCCTGGAAGCTGCAGGTGGCGGAAGAAATGGCAACACTCACCACGAGAGAGGAGGCGATGGATCCCCCGGCTCCCCGAACGTCTTGTTTTGTTAGCGAGGAAAAAGTGCTTCCTACCGAGGACAAGGTCTGAAATTCGCTCCCTACAGCAATCAGGGCGATGATAATGGTAGGCGGCGGGCAACAGGCTCCCTCGTCTAAGACCAGACGGCAGTTACTTCCTGGTTACTTAGACTTCTACCTCAGAAAAGCTCCGAGGATCCACCTGTCCGTCTCCAGACAGGTATGAAAGAGCAACGATTAAAAGTTTCCGGCCCGGCACTGTAGGCCGCCCTCGTGTGAAGGGCGCGGGGAAAGGGAGAGGCTACTGGAGCGCTCCTGCACGGAAGAAACTTGCACCTTAAAATCGCGGCCATTTCGCCCGGCGCCAGCAGCCGAGTTAGAGGCATTGGGGCGCCGGCGAATCTCGCGCCTTTGACTAAGTCACCGGTGACGCTGGCGAGCCCTCGCGGCCGCCCCTCGCCTTGGCCTTTAACAGCCGGCCGACCGGGCAGAAAGGAGGGTAGATTTGTACCAAGGTGCTGCGGTTTGCATTGCCATTTAACTTTTCCGCCCTGTTTTTCCCAAAGTTCAGCCCTGTTGATTGTGAAGGCGTGAGAACGGCAGTCTTCGTTTCATTTCCAGTGTGTGATTCAGCTAAAGTTAAAAAATGTTCTCTCTGCTGCCGTCGAGTCAACCCTGAAATTCAGCCACGGAGAGGGAAAGAAGCAAATTATTTGCCTAGGGAAAGTTTCCTGTTGAATTATTTTATTTTTATTTATTTTATTATTTTATTTTTATTTTATTTTATTATTTATCTCCTTATTTCCTTACTTATTTGAATAGTGAAGGCTCGGAAATGCCCAGCTGAGGTTTATTCATCAGGTGAAGTCAAATTGATGGGGAGAAGATTAAAATTAAAATTAAAATCAATAAATATTGTTGGGCTGCGTTTAAATCTGCCCAGTAGTAGTTAGAGTATATGTATTTTCTCTCCCACTGCCCCCCCCTTTTTTTTTTCCTTTTGGACAAGGCTTCTATATTAACATCAGTTTTTGGGTTTGCCAGAAATCTATCTAGGAAAGCTGTCACCATCATTTTGTGTCCAAAGACAGGAGAAATATCAGGCAGAAATTTAACATGTATCTGTCTGTAAATAGTCTGGCAGCCGTTATTTCACAAAGAACACAAAGAAAATAGTGATTTTGATGCTTTTAGACCACACACACACACACACACACACACACACACACACACACACACAGGCACAGGTAAAAACCAATTAAAGGAAGTAGCAGGGATAACCGATAAAAGAAAATGGAACATGGAAAAAAAGAGATTCTTGTTCATTTGTAATTAATGTCTATAAAATACAATGCTTCAGTTCTTATTAAAAGTGATTTAAATAATTCAGGAAAACTGGAACTTTTACAGCACTGATCCCTAAACCAGTTATGTACACTACCCATGTTTCTTGAAGAAAGAGGGGAATGTAATTTTTATTTATATTTCATTTATTATAATTTATGTAGCAGCCCTAATATAGAAAGTACATAGTGGTTCATGGGATACATAGGAGTTATTAAAACATTTGTGATTAGTTTGAAATTATGAACATATAATAACGTAAAGTAGTATAATAAATCCCCCAAAGCAGTTCCTCTAGCTTCTGCTCACCTCACACCCCCAAAATAAGTAACCACCAGGAGCTTTCCCAGGAAAATCAATGTGGTTGGGCAGATTTTACTGGGAAACTGCAGTCCTGAAGGTAATTTTTGGCGAGGCCTGAAGAGATTGATACGTTAAGACCAGCATTTTAAATTTACTTAGAAGTTCACTCATAACAACCACCAAAGTTTATTTCTATATTACTAAAATAATACAGAGGTTTGTGGAGTAATATAATTAAATAAAATGATAATAACAGCATTCTAAGTACCTTTCATATTCAAACTGTGGGTGCTTTTGAATCAATGTTGACTCCTGGCAACTGCATATCCGTGCAGTCATCAAGATTTCTGAAATGGTTTGCCATTGTCTCTTTCCTAGGGCTAAGAATGAATGACTGGCCTGAGATCATCCATCTAATTTCTAGTCCTAAAGTGGGACTAGAAATTACAGTCTAACCTGGAGCTTTAACCACTATACCAAACTGGCTCTCTGTTCAAACTTTATATGTTTATAGTTTTATAGATTCAGTAGTTCAATGAATCATTGGAAATCAAATGGTTATGTGATTTTTTAAAGAAATATCAAAGCATAATACAAAATTTCATATTAATGAGTTATAAAATTAATTGATAAGAAAGCCCATACAAGGATGGGGAAACAATGGTCCTCTAGATCAGGGCTTTTCAACTGGTGGTACGCATACCACTGGTGGTACTTTGGCACCTGATAGGTGTACGTACCCGTCCTAGAGAAGTGGTAGCGGAGGGGAGAGAAATGAGCTGAAGCAGCGGCAGTGCTGCAGAAGCCTAAGGGAGAGACAGCTGGAGCTGCAGGACTGTCAGGGCTCAGCAGAAGCCCCAGGATCAGCACCGGGCTCCAGCTGATTGGTGCTTTCGGAAGCTGAAGAGAAAAGGAGGGGGGGGAGAGAGAAGAGGATATAAAAGGTTTTAGTGGGAAAGGGCCAGTGAGGGGCTGCCCCTGCCCTGCCCCTGGGCACATGAAGAGGCGGCGACCACCCAACATCCCTACTGACTGTCCCTTGTGTGCTTGCCACCTTCTCTGTGCAGAAGTGTAACGCAGATGTAACAACAGTGGGGAGGAGTCAAAGTGTGAAGCTTCTGCCCACCGCAGGCTTCCTGCTGCCACCTCTGCCCAGAGCCTCTGGCAGTTAAGGAAGGAAGGAAGGAAGGAAGGAAGGAAGGAAGGAAGGAAGGAAGGAAGGAAGGAAGGAAGGAAGGAAGGAAGGAAGGTTATAATGAGAGGGAGGGAGGGTCTGAGGGAAGTCCCGCCTTAGCACTTGGCCACGACCAGCCCTGCTGCCCTTTTGCCATCCCCTTGTCCCCTCCTCCTGACTATCCTGGTGGACTCGCAGCCTAGGATGCTTTGGTTACAAAGCCAGGTCTCCTTGCATGGAGAGGGATTGGGACTCCCTCTGACCCACACATTTTGCCTTCCTGCAAACACCATGAGCAACCTGGCCAAGGAGAGCGAGCCAAGCAGCAGCAGCCTCGAAGAGGAGGTAAGCACAGCTTACATGTTTCAAAATGACATATCTAGACGCTTCATTATTCAGTTATTAATGCTACCTAAAAATTAGGATTTCTAAGTCTATATTAGTAACCTAGGAACAATGACAGTTTATTAAATCACACTGCACACATCCTATTCAGGATTCCAGAATTCCTTTTGGGAACTATTGGATAATGCCAAAAGTAGATACAACTTAGCCAATATCAAACAAAGTGGCAGAATGCCTTAAAAAGCTTAATCAACATTTCTGTAATCTAAGAGGCTCTCCCAAATAGGTGTAGCTATTTTTCCAGTCCAGATTGGTGGCCCTCTACATATAGAATTCTCCCTCAAGAAATGTATAATCATATTTACATTTCATATGTTGAATGGCTTTGAATTTTGCTTGTAAGCCAAATGAAACTATGAACACCATATATGCTAGATCAGTGTTTCCCAAACTTGACAATTTTAAGGCATGAGGACTTCAACTCCCAGAATTCCACAGCCAGCGTTGCTGGCTGTGGAATTCTGCGAGTTGAAGTCCTCATGCCTTAAAATTGTCAAGTTTGGGAAACACTGTGCTAGATGAAAAGGGTGAGGAATCATTAGAACAGAGGTCCCCAACCCCCAGTCCATGGACCAGTACCAGGCTGCAGCATGCCAGCAACCGGGCCGCACAAACAAGCAAAGCCCCATCTGTGGGATGCAGGCAGCACACAAAACCACGCCCCCTCCAGTCCACAGAAAAACCACGGAACCGGTCCCTGGTGCCCAAAAGGTTGGGGACCTCTACATTAGAACACAGACCAGAAATAAAGCAGCCATTTGGATCTATTCAAGCCTGTAATGCAGGCTTTTTGGACAGATTCATCTTATGTGCAAATTGCCCTCATTTCTCATGCCTTGTCACTTTCTTGGATTGATTGTAAGTGGCTTAGAGTCACTTTTGGTAAGATGGGCAGCATCTAAGTTGAATTAAATAAATAGAAAAAATGCTGCAATTAATTCTACATGGGGTTGCCTTTCAAAATATTTGGAAGTTGCAGCTGGTCCAGAATAAGGTGGTGTGGGCAGTTCTGGGCCTTATGCTATGCTAATATAATACCACTGCTTTGCAGGTTCTATCAGCTTCCAGTGAGCTTCCTAGTTCAATTCAAAATGCCAGTAAAGTCTTCCCAGCAGAATCACAGAATATCTGTTGGAACTCCTCTGTTCAGTTGTTGCTGCCTGTATCAGCAGAATCAACAGGCTGGGTGTGCTCCAGGTGTCTTCCATTAAGCAATGCCATTTTGTGGAAACCAGGAGTTGTGTCTTCTCTATTATGCTGCTTGTTCTAAGGGATAGCACCACCTGGAAATCCAGATGGCCCCACTCCTGTTGGCTCTTATAAGAGCTAAAGACTCAGTTCTTCCTTCCAGGCATTTGGGCTGAGGTGTGAAGTGAAGCACACAAATAAAGCAGTAGCAGGCAAAAAGCAAGCTGCCTTGACAAGAACAATGTGATATAGCTTTATATAGAGAATTATTATTTCTATTACCCTGCCTAAAAAGTTTAAAGTAGTTTATTTACAACATAACCGCTTTAAGTTTTAAAATAGACTAAATAGATTAAAACTGATAATATTCATTTTTACCCAGAAATCTATAGGCATCCAGTGCAGTTATTTAAGAGTCCGGCTACTGCATTTTGAAATAACTAAAATGTCCAAATTATATATCAGATTTAAATAGCACACACTGCTATGTGTCTCCATTCTCAGATTACTAGCTGATGTACCATTGTTTTAGATCATTGTCTTCAGAAAACGAATGGAGCTGTCAGGTTAATTGCAGCTGGGCCCCTGGGCATGACCTCAGTCTGAGATACCAGATAAGGTCATCTCATCCTCCAGATAAAAATACTCCCCGCCCCATGATAAGCAAGTCTATCTCAATTTATTATCCTGATCCAACTCATTATTGCCCATAGATAGGCATTTTGAGAATAATGACAAATTTGGGAACGATAGCGTTTTGATAGTCACCAATACCAAATCTTGATGACCACAAGCAGAGGTCACAGAGAGATGTTAAAAAGCATTGATGACCTAATGGAAAGTCTGATAAGTTCCATATAACAGCTTGTTAGATATTTGAGTTCATCAGACGGCCTTGTAAATAGATAAACTCCTGAACACAAATAGCAATGAAAAAATGCTAAGTAATTAAGTAACAAGAGCCAGGTTGATGTAGTGGTTAAAGCATAAGGCTAGAAACCCAAAGACGATGTTCTAGTCCTGCTTTGAGTACAAAGCCAGCCAGGTGACTTTGGGCTTGTCACTTTCTCTCAGCCTTAGGAATGAGGCAATGGCATATCATTGATGAAAAACCTTGCCAAGAAAACTGCAGGGACTTGCCCAGGCAGTCTCCAGGAATTGGAAACGATTGAATGGAATTAAGAAAAAAAGCATGTGAGAGCCGTTTAGGTTGAATGGTTAAGGTATAGGACCAGGAGTGGGGAAACTTGAGTTCTAGATCTACCTTAGGCATAGAAGCCATATGGCAGGGGTCTTCAAACATGGCCCTTTTATGACTTGTGGACTTCAACTCCCCGAATTCCTCAGCCAGGCATGCTGGCTAAGGAATTCTGGAAGTTGAAGTCCACAAGTCATAAAAGGGCCACATTTGAAGACCCCTGCCATATAGTGACTTCAGGCCAGTGTGGAGGGAAAGTATCCAGTAATCATCATGACTTCTATTCCTTTGCTAGAAAGGAGGTATTGGATCACACCCTGTTTCCAATTATAAAAGAAAGATGCTGATAGCACCTGAGATGGAAGTGGATTCTTGTGTGGAACACCAGGGAGGAAGAATTAGTTGCTGAGAGGATCAGGATAAACTGTAGCTTAGCAGGTGATTGATGGAGAAGGAGGAGTGGGTGTGGATTCCAGGAAA